TTCCACCATATGCAATATACCTACCTTTCTTTCGTGTCAGCGCAATTACACCCAAAATTACAACTGCCGTCAGCCCAGTAAGAACAGTCACAGTTAGTATTAGAAATGTAACAAAGTTGGCAGCATTAGTTTCCTCAGATGTTTGATGTTCTTTAAGCTTAATTTCTTTGTGTTTCGAATTACTTGTTGCCATACTGCCAGCATTACCCATCTCTGAAACACAGTACATATGTAATATGAACAGAATTTTAAGCTTGTAATATCAACTAAGCAACAAGGCTCATTGAAAATAAATGGTTCTAAAAAACATACCTTCACCTTTGCAGTCACAAAATTGACAGCCCTGCACTAACACAATTCCTGACAAATCACAGCCTCGACAGAGATCTTCCTTTTTCACCCTTTCAAGGGATTATTCCAGCACAGCACCACAATTTTTTTAATTTTAATATGTAAGAATGAAGATGACCACAACTGTGTATCCTAATTCCACACATGTACAAGTACAGGAACAAAATAACCCTGAATAATTTTTTGTAATGCCACACACAAGACACACCTGAATCGTAACCAATTACAGTGATACACGACTCTCTATTCTCACTACCCTAGTCAAACTAACAAATCAGGAAAAAAAACTTTCAGCTGCAGTCCAATTTTTGTATTTCTTGGCCAAATTAACTTTTATTTTCTTCATATGCATATTTAAAAATTGTTTCTTTGATTGGCTCCTGAGCTTTCTCTAAAGTCTAAAGTGGACTGTCGTGTCATGTACCTGCAGCTAAATCTGCCTAAGATCAAAACTTGTTATATGAGGATCTATTTAGCTTTGCCTTGGAAGAAGAACACAATATCACAACCACTGTTAGTTAAAGAAAAAGTACTCAAAAAAAAAAGTTTTTCCAACTCCAGAGAACTTGTTACGAAAATGCAAAACAGCACAAACAGCAAGACAACTGCGCCCAAACTAAAAACATCTGTTAGCAGCAAAAAATACCTCTTTGCTCACATTAATTTACAAATACTGTGGATTATGTAGGATTAAGACACCACTTCCTGGTGTATGGTGTATTGGGCAATTCTTGGAAATAAAAATTGCCCATTGGGAAATTTTTTTAAATAAAAATGTGAACATCGATGACAGTTTGCTTAATCTAATAAAAGCTCAGACAAGTATTACTGATGGTGCCAGATGTTCAATACCACTGCTTAATCCAGGAGGTCCAATGTTGAAGCAACCAAGTTCATATTTAGCAATCAGAATTTTCTTCATGCGGGCCTCCACCCTGACACAAGCATGTAGATGAGTTGTGGTGGCATCAATGTCATACAATCTGACGCACGCATCAGCGTATTCCTTAACATACGGCACCCCGATGCATACAGGAGGTGGATTCCGAGCTGTAACACGGGAAGACACAATGTAGACTACTTTACTTACCGAAATGCTAACCCTGTACTGTTAACCTTCATATAATCTTAAAACAGCCACACAAAGGTCTATTCTGCATTAAATACTCTTCTATACGGTGACAATAAAAGTCCGAAGTTCGTGATATCTCAAATATAAAATCATACATGCAAAGAAACTGTTTACACTTTAAAACACACCGTGCCAAAAGCGTTTCAACCTCATGAGGTCATCAACTGACTAATTAATGGAGTGAATTAAAACACTTTGCCACTGAAGATGTTCTCATGAGGTCGAAACATGTTTCGCACAGTGTGTTTTAAAGTGTACACAGTTTCTTTGCATGTATGATTTTATATTTTAGATATTCAACACTGAACTGTATCCAAGATTTTATGATTTTGAAGTTCATGAGTTTTGCTGTTTTAACATTCACTATTAAAAGGAAAAACTCAAAGTAAAAATACCCTTACTGGGTGATTGAGAAGGAAATGGAATGCAGCAGAGCAGAGACCCTAAAAATATTAGTAACAGAACAATCTGATACTGTGATACACTGGTATGTTCATGTAAATAAAGGGAAAATTCATATTATATGGTCTCCTCAAGATATTTTAAGGTGACATGGACTGTGCTAGCTATTGCTTAAAATACCTCCCAGGGCCATTCACATCGTACAATACTGTCGGTATTGATCCTAGTAGGTTACGGTGAAAATTCAGTCTTCTGACAAACTGTGGGCTGCAACCCCACTACAGCTGTAAAGTCTAAACAGATTAAAAACAATACACACAATATATATATTTACCTGAAACTGTTTCATTAAAAATGGTATAATCATTCACAGTAACTGTGATGGATATCCCATAGTCATGTGACAAGTACGACACATTAGCACAAACTGGAAAAGAAAAGAAAAGCGTCAATAAACAAAACTCCTGCAATCTTTGAAGATATTTTATCTGCACAGTAATGGTGACTCAATCTATAATCACACCACATTAATGAATCCAAAAACTGTAATTTAGTTTTACAGAAAAGCACAATGCACCAGAAATTCTTGTCTGTCCAATCCTCACTACAAATTCTTTTTTTAAAAAAACCCAGTGGAAAAGACAATAAAATTAAATAGGAAATTATTTATTTCTCACTTTCTTCCCTGATCAATTTTTTCCTTTATTTCGGCCCTTTCTCTACCTCCTTCCTTTCTCCGATATTCATTTCTCATCCCTCTCAACTTCAAACATTGAAAATTGTGAGTCATGGTATGTACTACATTATTTCATAATTATTGTCACCCATACCAGCAACTCCTAAAAACTGTCCAATTGCAGCAGAATTTGTAAAACAGAAAATTCTGCCACAAATCATCATTATCGAGAACTTTCAAGAGCTCTGTGTGTGCAAGCAAACATCATAGTAAGTTTCATGTAACACGTGAACATGTTGTTCAACACAGTATATTTCATTACCTGGCCTGCTTAATGCATGGCACAGCACACCACTTCAACAACAATATGCCTACAGCTGCAATATTTGTGGATATCAAAAGAGCCTTTGACACCACACCTTGCTGTACAAATCACCAAAATTGCATTTTCGACAATTTCCATCATGTTAATTGGTCCTTTCTTTGGAACAAAAACTTCAGAGTTTCGGTTGATGGTGAAAGATCTACGCCAAGGGAAGTACCAGCAGGGATGCCATAAGGTTCCAACCTTGTGCAGGTTGTATATAAATGATACCCCCCCCCCAAAACCCCCAGGAGTTCAACTAGCCCTCTTCGCTGATGACACGTGTATATACTGCACAAAGTCAAAGAGGCCTACAGAACATTTATTAGTCTATCCCTTGTTCAAAAGTGAATGATTGAGGCCTAACTAATCCTCCACAAACCACTCATTAGGTCAGCAATGACTTATGCCTGCCATCTGGGAGTTTGCTGCAGACATAATTCTTTTGAAAGTCCAGCGCCTGCAAAGCAAGGTCTTTCGTGCGATTGGCAATGTTCCTAGGCGCACACCGGTCCGCGATATTGCACGTGGCTTTCAAAATTCTATTCGCCTATGATTTCATCACAAAATTATGCAGGCAGCAAACTGAAGTCATACATTATCATCATAATAAAAATGTTTGCAATATAGGACAAGTCGAGGCCACACACTTTCCAATTCGTTATTCACCGTCATCCTTTCATTCGACACTGTATAGTCAGAGCTACTGAAAAGGTGTCGTTTAACAAACTATAAATAAAATAATAACACAGAACTAGTATAGGAAGTTTAAACGTGGTGACAGTCAAGTCACTGAGCTGCCGCTGTAGCACAGAGCAATGCTAGACGAGGCACGACCTGCTGCACACTGCCTGGGTTGGCTGGGTCAACCACAGGCAACTGAGGAGGGCCAACTTGGCCATGATGACTGAGGTTTTCCATGTTTTCCCTCAGTTTTAGGGCAAATACCAGGGTAGAATTAGAAAAGGGCACAGCTTTCCCTCTTGAATCATAAAGGCCTTCAGCTGGGGGCTATGAAGGTTATCCGACTTACAACAGAAAACAATGATTAAAGTATCTGGTCCATAGGCTGGATCTCAGAAATTACATTATGCCTGGAAAATATAACTTAAATTTCTTCTGAGAAATCACAGCATATGAATGGAGGAGTTGAGATAAGGACTTTCTATACAATGAAGCACTATTTCTACGTGTTATCACGACATTCTTACTTGTGCTGTTCAGATGAATTTCACTTTCCTCTAGATGAGCACAGCAACCACAGTTAAAGTTGGTACACCTGCACGTGTCCATGGCAACTCGTCTTATTTCGTTCCACTCTTCAATAATTTTGTGTTCAGCAATTTTAAGATCATCTACAACTGCTTCTCCTCCACCCTGCATAACATCTGCAAATTTAGCACACTTTAAGTTTCAATAAACAAACAAAACCAGACAACATATTACAAAACAGACTGTGTTTAACGTCGTCTCATGGAAATTAAAAAGGGTTTGTTATGGAAAGTAATATACAGAGTGATAGAAAAGTTACTCAACACATATTAAAATATATATTGTTGGTTGAAATTTGATTCTGCTGTGACCATGCCTGCTACTCGAACGTCTGCTTGGAGTCTTCTTGTTGGCGTGGCTCAGTCTTTACCTCATTTCATCTCGACTCGCCCATTCCCTGCCACCCTATAAAATCCCTCACCAAGGACCTCTGAAATGTTGGTAAACTTCTACCAGACTACACGGTGCAACAACCTAGACGAAAGCCATCTTCATAAAAATATTACAATGTTACACTAAATGCACTGTTATACAGCTGGTATGTTAATAAATTATTTATACCATGTAAGTATAATAACATCTAAAAGGATTACGAGTCCTCCTTAAACTGCAGGGGTAGAGATATTTACATATAAGTAAGAAAAATGGTCTACTGAGAGCTATAAACTAATTTCAATACTTAACATCCACGAATTTTGTCACAATAAGAAACCTGAAATTTTTAGAAAACTTTTAATTGATAACTACCTGTAAAAGAACCAAGAAAACTGATGACGGTGTGTTTGAGACTTAATTCAGTTTTGTATAATTTGGCATAGAATGGCCCAGATGGAAAGAGTACAATACATTACCAGAAATAATTAAAAGATTAAGACAGTTCCATAAAACTTTTAAGCAACATCCTGATACTTCCATCAGTGGCCGTAATCAACTTGTACAGAAATATTTTTTTGGTGGATTGCCTGAGAAAAACCTTTCTGCTATGTCTAAGAACTGCATCAACTGCTGCTATCCCTACTTGGTTATCTGTGATTGTGAATGTGAAGTGCTCTAAATCAAGATTACTCTGATAAGTCAGCAGCTGTGGTAAGAAGATATACAAATATATGGAAGTGACTGCTGTGCAGCCTTCGCTTTATATCAGACAAAGATAAATTTGCACTGCAGCATTGGGTGTCTCGTAGGAGTCTCTAGGTCTCCCCAGGCTTCCCGACCAATACCCGGTGCACACCTCTTGTCCCATCCATGCGCGCTACATGCCCCGCCCATCTCATTCTTCTCGACTTAATCACCCTGACAATACTGGGGGAGGAGTACAGATTTTTAAGCTTGTCATTATGCAGTTTTCTCCATGCCCCATCGTCTTCTCTCTTAGGCCCACATATCCTCCTCAACATCATTTTCTCAAACACCTGCAATCTGTGTTCCTTCCTCAGAGTGAGAGACCGTGTTTCGCACCCATACAAAACAACAAGAAAAATTATTCTTTTGTGTATTTTAATCTTTTGGTTCTTAGAAATCAGACAAAATATTTTGAACTGAGAAGTAGCAAACATTTCCGGAATTTAGTCTCCTAACTTCCTCATGAGTATCATTTTGATTTGTTAGTGTTATTCCCAAATATTTTAACTTTGTCACACTTTCAAAGGATTTATTAGCCACCCTAAAACAATTCTGCCCGCCCGTCTGCTCACGACATACAAACATGTACTTGGTTAATTTTTCTGAATTTACCCACCTGTCTACAGCCTCTAGTAAAACTCCTGTGTTCCTCTTTATTGTATCTATATCGTCACCCAATAAGAAATACGTCCAACACCATCAAAGCCAACACACTTACCCGAAATTTTTGATGGCAGAGCATTGGATGTGACAACAAACGCTATTATAAATGTAATTACTGGACTCATATTTCAATATTGCGCTGAAGCAAAAAAAAACAGGCAATTACACTTTTAAGACTGCAGTTGGCTCAATCCTAAGGGTATAATTATTAAATATCCACAATTTCTGTCTCAACTACACAACACTAACAAAGATAAAGACTTCCCACTATGTAGGGACATCCCCCGAAACTACAAACCACAAACAGTACCAATTCATGGATCGGTGTTATCAATGTTATAAGATTTGCATCTCATATGGCCTATTACGTTACGTACTGCCATCTATGTGTATGTTATGAAACTATTGCAAGAGCGATCTGGTGGTAATAATTGACATAATTGAAGCCACTTCCAAGCGCTTAGTCGGTAACAAGGATTGCTGTCTTCTGTGTTCTTGGGCCATGGAGACACGTGGGACAGTGAGCTGATTTGCCCGGAGTATTTTTTGTCTACGGTCTTGGAGCTCATACAGAGTTTTCAGCGTTTGGCAGAGCGTCATAATCCACAAAGTTATAGATTTAGATTGATGTAAGCTCCGGTAATATATTATTTCGTGCAATTTTCGAGTCCCAAAAAGAAGGACTGAAGGTCGTAATTTATGATGTGGCTTCATTGACGATTCAATTTTAAACAATTTCCTGGCTAGTGGGGGGGGGGAGGTGCGTGTCACACCAATTGATCTTACACTCATCACAATCAATTAAGCCTGTTCTGGAGGGACTGAAGTCCTTGTACAAGACAGTCCGAAGGTCTGCGTCCCGCTTGCAAGTCGCTTTGTTCCTTCAAGTGAAATCAGCATCTACGAGGTATGTAAGTCTACGAGATTGTTTCCAGCGTCTGCTATAATCGGAGTAAGTTTTATTTTGACGAATCGAGGTTCCTCGGTTCCGCTAGCAGCGCCAATCCGACTGAGACGTAGAACAATTAATCGACGAACTGTACTTTGGACGCCGAACACTTAGACAATCGTGTGTTGCTTCGTACTGTGGACATTTTAGGTCGAACTCTGATCTCAATGACAAGATACGCTGAACTGCATTGTTTTCCTTAGTCACAAAAGAAACTGTTGTAGTAACACATCCACGAACCTGCTGCTTCCACATCCTCTCCTTTGACACTAAATACGTACTTAAATTTATGAACCAGAACTTTCACTTACCCGATCTCCAGATCCATTCAGATTTTTAATTTCCTCTGACAACAGCCCAGATTTTCTTAACAATTTGCATACACCGCGCCTCGACATACGCAAATTAGAAATTCAGTCCAAGTTGTTTTCTGTTCTCCGTCGTAGTAACTGTTTTACCTAAGATAATTACAAATTTTACAGCATCCGAAGTAAATTACGACTGCGATGTAAAAGTACAATGCCATTTAATCTAAAATCGAAACGTACTTCAGTACATTCGCTTTCATATAATTGTTTCCGAGACAACATTACTAATTCTGCACTGGACTGCGTTATTAATTTCTTTTTCGTAATGCCTCTTTATTTATAACATTTTCTTCTGAATCTTTGTTTACTTACTGATAACTCTTATCTCACTTAGACATTTGTTCACGGCAGAAACTCCTCCGTGTAAACACGCCTAGAGGCAGACATTCTACAGCTCGGGCGCTTAGGAAGGGAACTCTTATCGATCCAACCTTACGGAGCAAATGACATGAAGAACAACTCCACACGTTAACATTTTAAAACTGTTTCCGTAAAGCATTCAGCTCCGACTGTCCTGAAATGAGCTTCTTTTAACCCTGAAGTCTGCTGTTTACGTGGTGGATTATAAAACACAACAAAATTCTGTCCATTGTCATCGATATCGGCAGATGAGTCTACAAATCGAAACAACAACTTCGTCTCCATATACACCAGAGCAACAAAGAGTAATCAAATCTAAATTCATAAAACGAAGCACATGTCCAATACAAGGATGACACTTGGAAGACCCAGACGAGTGAAAGGATAATATTAAAACGGATCATTCCACTGATGGTGGAAGCTGAAACGATATCCGAAACGTCGGGCCTTTGAATATCTCCATTGATTTCGTTCGTCTATTAATTTTGAACACACGTTTAGTTTATGGTCGGTGTTGCAGTCAGCTGTTCTGAAAGATCGTGGTGGCAAGGATCAGCAAAGCAAATCAAAAACATTGACCCTTCCTAATGGCCACGCACCCTCCTCCTCCAAACTAAAGCAAGCAGCCAACGTTTTTCGATCTGCTGGCATCTAAGAGGTGCGTCTCTATGACGGCGTCTGCTATACGATCGCAGCGCAAAAGATTTCTCGGCGTAGTTACGTTTGACTTCAACAATCGGATTCTGTTTGAGAAGTGAAATTTTGGAAGCAGCGACTGTTAGTACGCAAAAACTGTATTGTTGTTGTTCATGTCATCACGAGGCTTTAACGTTTTGCTGGCGGAAGGCCTCGGTTTCTGTCGATTGTTGCTTGGGAAAAGGCATGTCCGGTCGCGTGGATTTCGGGAATCTTCGGACGAAGGGCGGCGGGTCGCTACAATGACCTCGAGGTTCTTGTCAGCTGAGACCTGGGCCAACACGGATTCCTTGGAAGTCTTTGTCACTGACGATTTCGACATTTCGCACAAACAAGGGCGACACAATTTCTACTCTCCAACACCAAATAATGTTAGGGTCGTAAAATCATGAAGAATGAGATGGACCAAGTATGTAGCATGCACGTAACTGGAAATCTAAGGGAAAACACTGATTAGAAGATAGATAAATGGTTAGGGGTTGTAGATTGGATTAATCTGGCTCGAAATAGGGGTAAATGTACTTTGGTTCGTTTTGAAATCACCGATTTTCTTGAGTAGGCGAAGGACCGATACTTTTTATGGCAAGTGCAATTGTGTCTTCGTGATGCAGATGTTGGAACCAGGGCAGAAAATCCGGCCTCGTCTGTCCAGGCAGGAGGCCGTCACGATGGTGCGACGACTCTACGGCCTCGAAGACGTAACCATCGAAGAGCTGAATGGTTATGACGACAAGAACTACCACGTGCAGGTGAGCGAGCAAAGAGTGGTCCACCCACGTCCGGAAACTATTTTTCCAGGGCTAAAACAGCCGGATCCTGTCTTTGTAACAAAGCAGACTGCATGCTCAGTCAGTACCGTCTGTCTACGGACTGGACGAATGGTGTCCAACCCCTGGTGGGAGGAGTCGTGGCCAATTTTTAAGCCTTGTGCCTGATCATTACATCAAGTCCCGTGGCGCCCTCTCTATCTGACGGGAAGCCGGGTCTTTCCTTTGTCATCTGTCTTCGTGACGTCTGTACTTCTCTGCATTTCACAGAGTAAATCTCTACTCAATGTTTATAGTTCACCACGCACAAGACGTGCGTCTGTCAGCCCAAGTAGCGCGGAGGAGATGAAAAGACTTCTCTGAAGTTCGAGCGCAGTGTAAAATTATGCAACCGTCGGCTCACTGTGAACTAGGCCTTTCACATGTCTCATCCCGTTCCTTGGAATATACAGATCGGATCCTTGAACAATTATCTAGATCGCCCTGATGATGGAGGCAGCAAGGACCTCTGAAACGTCGGTACTCGACTACTGGGCGCTACAACTGCGAAGACCGCCATCTTCAGACTCACAGCTGTGAGAACCCCCTATAGGATTTCCTTTATTTAGTCTGTGCCTCAAATCAATTTATTTTGACGTCAGTGCTACACGAGGTCAGCAGCGCCAGTGAGGCCTCCTGTGAATATCGGTTATTGTCTCACTGGTTGTGCAGAGCGAGGACTAAGCGAGCATGACCACAAGGCAGCAAACGTGTTCATGAATTCCCTTGTTTCAGATCTGCGCAGGCTCGAAGAAGCCTCAAATATGGCCGCACGGCTACGTTCTGAAAGTGACGAATTCGTTAGATTCGGAGAAGCTGCCATTGGTCGAGGGGCAGATCGAAATTGCACTGTACTTGGGTAAGTTTCCGCACGTCATTTGTTGGTTGTGTTTAGGAGAAGAAGAAACTCACGTCTTTTTTTGGGATTTCTTTAGGAACTCGGGGGATAAACTGCCCACAGCCTGTCAAGAACCTGTCCGGAAATTATTATTCTTTGGAGGAGCTAACTCACGAAGGTTTGTGCCCCCTTTTCTTACTTGCTAAAGTTCTCAATATGAAGTGATGTGTCAAGAACTTTCTGTCACAGGCGTCGACAGGAAAAGACACGTAGTGCGCATGCTCACCTACCAACCTGGCCAGCTGCTGAACACAGCGCCGTGTACGCAGAACTTGATGTTCAAGGTGGGGAAATTCCTAGGGCAGATGGACCGTGTGCTGAGGGTAAGGCATTCCGTCATTACGTCACGAGATATCCCGACCGCTGTCTTCAGCTAGTCTAAAAGTTACATCCGACAAATTCAAGGGAAATGGAATCTGCACTAAGTTCTTTAGAATACAAAATACATTCTCTAGAAAATAACTGAAAATGGAACTGCATGCTAACCCAGGATTTTGATGTATCACGATCATGAAATTGTTAACATAAGATGCACGAACAAGAATTAGAAATTTGTGTAATAGTGAAATAGGTTTTTAGATCTCTGGTCAGAACTTCTTATTTAGGCAGCGACGTTCACGCAGAGCAAAGCTGCAAACCCGAGACTTCGAATTTCAGGTGCATAAATCTCTTAGCTTCAAAAAGAGATCTTATTCCAACTGCCTGCACTTTTTCAGGGCTTTCGTAATCCTGCCTACGACAACGCCAAGAGCATTTGGTCGTTAGAATGTGCTCCGTCGCTCACGAAGTTCACATTTGCGGTTAAAGATGTCGACAAGAATGATTTAGTTAACAAAGTAATAGACGCTTTTGGCAGAGACGTGTTACCAATCGTGCACACCTTGGAGAAAGGTGAGTTTCAGTGCGTTCTCGTCATTTGCAGCTGAATACCCATGGGCCATTTTTATCACCGTGAGAATAGTCTCAGATCACTGATGCCCAAACCTCCAGAGACATCTCAAATTCGAAAAATAAATCGACTGTAAATTTTGCCTGTTGTCGATTTACAAAGGGATTAATTAACCACCCTCCTTGCTCGATATATTAAGGGAGTAATTCAAAAAGAGGTTAGATGTAGCTCAGAGCTGTGCTAATTGCAGACGCCCCACAATCTGCCAAGTCATGCGTCGTCAGTCGAAGTATTGACCTAGGATTTTCATGCAAGCTTTTCCTTTGTACACATTTATTTAGCTTCAACAATCAGAAACTTAGGCGATACAACCTGGAAGACATCCATGTTCGGACTCATCTCCGTGAGAACCTCAAATCCTGACGAAAAAATATCTTCACAAACGTAAACCATTTCAAAAAAGCTTGCACAAATGGCCGCCTTCTGCCGCAGATTCGGCGGACACTTAAAAAAGTTTAGTAATTCGCCTTCTTTGAATTGAGGCTTAAGTTCACACTAAAATGTAGGTCTAAACCGTATCGCCCCCTTCGACGGGTAGAATGGGGCATGTGCCAGTTCTTTGCGTCATTAACTTTCGTGGCGATCCCCTCTCAGGTACACCGGTCAATAAATAAGGAATCACACTCATAAAGAAACATAAATACAAAGCATAATCATAACCAGATAATAAATAATGATGATACACAAATTAAATTTACATTCAAACTCCCAGTCAGTACAAATACTGAACATGACTCACATTTCCACTAATTGAAGCCTTCAAAGTTTACAATACATTGAGCACGAGACACAACAAATATTCGTTCATTGATACGTGACAAGCTCCCAAAAATAAAGTTTTAGACTCTCTTCTCTCAAACATAATACACCTCCGTCGCTCCCTCTCCAACTAAACTTCTTCCCCATGAACCAAGTAAAATAACTAAAAAACAATCAAATAAACAACAGCACAGCTCGTATGGAACAGGTCAGAACAAATAACAACACTTACCTTGTGCAGCCACTGCCCGAGGGTGTCCGTGTGCTACGGTGAAACAAACACGAATCGAATGCCCTCCTCCAATGGCGCACTTTTAACCCCGCGCGCCGGCGCAGCGAATATCGATCGGACACGAATCGTAAGCAGGGTTTCGATCTGCACTCTTGGTTCGATCGGACCTCACCGAGTCCCGAGGTCGACCCCGTTCACCTCCAACGACACAAGTCGATTAGACGAAGCTGTAATATAGGTTAAGCATGTCGATATGATTACATACCAACAACTAAGCCTATTCGTCTTGTATCGTTGAAGTATGGAAACTAACAAGGGTTGTTGTTTAAAAGCTGTTAATTAAATTAAGTTTCATTCGGAGGGCTGTTACATGTTGTGTAGTTTGGCATTTCCCTTGCTATTTGGGCAATTCAAGAGCCCACAAGTGTCTGTCAAGAATACCAGATCACACGCCCAACACGCATATTCAAAGCCACTGACATTGTCCTTTTTCAAGAGGGAAAACTTTGATATCTTCTTATAACGATAGAAAACTTGTACAACTTCACCATTGTTACGCTAATGAACCTCAGAGGATTCCAATGTCACCATGTTCGCTTCGATTATTCAATGCTTACCTTTAAACTCCGTAGTACTCCCGTAGGTATGATACACGGCGACTTCAATGATCAGAACGTGGTGGTAGGGCCCGACCCTGTGGACGGTTCCTGGGACGTCACTGCCGTGCTGGACTTCGGAGACACGCAACTCTCGTGCTATGTTTTCGAGCTGGCCATTACTGTGTGCTACGTAATGCTATTAGCTTCCGACTTGAACCCACTGGATGCGGCCGGTCATGTGATCGCAGGGTACAGCATGGTTCGCCCTCTGCCAGACGTCGAATTTAATATTTTGAAGGTCAGCTGAAACTGAATCTAGGCACAGTGTAACTTTCTCTCCGTTCTAATTTTTGGGGACATAAGAGTTAATAACTACACAACTTCACTCTTTACAGGTACTGTGCTATTTTACTTACATCTCTGCATGTCAGTCAGAGAGTCAATTTATGTGCATACAATTTTCTAAAGATCATTATAATGGTATTGGGGGTGGCCTTTTTTACAGGTGAGAACCATGTTTTAACACTGTTCTTTAAGTGGTTAAATCACACACACTTAATTATCGCCTTACACATAAATTGCGCATTTCTAATTCTGAGGCTGTTCATATATAAAACGTTTTTACTGCAGTACCTGTTAACAGCTTTTCTAAAAAAATAATATTGCTTTGCTCCGTTTTGATAAGTCACTTGCAAGCTGTGATTGGTGTACTTTATTCCTTTTCAGGTATGCGTAAGTGCTCGACTGTGTCAGAGCCTGGTGATGGGTGCTTATTCCTACCAGCAAGATCCAAAAAATGAATACTTGATTATAACATCACAAAGAGGTTGGAATGTGTTACGGCTCCTCTGGAATACGCCACAAAGTGACCTTATCAACAGATGGAGAAAAACTGTTCCATTGTATAAAACATAAACAGTATGGTAGTGCTGAAGAAGAAACAAGTGAATTATTCAATTTGATTATTACTACTATAAGTTACATTGTCATAATACACTTTCTTTAATAAAGCATAACAATATATATAAAATAAGCAAACAAATTATTAACACTATTTTTATAGTGTTAATAATTTGTTTGTTTGCTTATTTTATATTCTAATACACTACACGGCATGCAAAGTTTTAAGATACGAATATATGTCAGTACATTTGTTAATAAATATTTTTTCTACATAAAAGGCATTATGTGGTTTAAATATAGTACGTGACTGTAATCTTGAGGCTTGCAAGGAATGCAGGAAGTCCGAAGCGTTAAAGGCAGATGCCGTCTTTCCCACTTCCTCACGCCGCAAGTCTCAAGATTAGTCTTACACTGTACTTGTTGCAATGAAAGTTTTACCTACAACTGACTTCTGCATGGCAATATGCGACTACAGATCACTTGGCAGTATTTTGCTACTGACATTTCATTTCTCCTATTGCAAGAAATTTGTCACTGTTTCCTGTATGTCTTAATTGTAAAGCTTAAGCACTGAGCACTTATTTTCCCTATTGCTTGAACGCAATCATATTGACATAAATCTCAAATCTCCTTGGCTGAGGGGGACACATTTAAATTTTCTTATATTATTACCTATAACACGATGAATAAAGGGGAGAAAGGAAGGAGGATTTTGAGACCAGTATAGGCATAATGTTGCCTATCCCATTAAGACAAAATGAAGTTGATCAAATTGTTGCAAGACTTTCCATGCCTCCGAGTCCAAGCACGAGAGGACATTGTCATGGGAAATCGGGCTTGTTGAAAGGTCTGCATGCGAATAATCTCATCACTTGCAGAAATGGATTACTGGATATATTCATGATTTATTGTAAAATAAACATGATATCATTATATCAACAAGATAAATGTCAGATGTACAGAACATACACATGATGTATATGTAACACACTCCACAGAAGTGCCCAAGAAATTAACAACAACAATTACCTTATAACACAACATCTGAATCACTTGTACACATGATGGGGAGTGTTACAGGATGTTTATTGCATCACAATTTTGTGCCATGTTCACAAAGCTGTGGCAGCCATTCTGTGAGGGACAAAGACTTGCTGTCATAACCTCTCACCTTATGTGTCGTTACGCTATACGCTGCTGACGAGAAACTGGAATGTACTTTTGGGGCAAATTTGCAGCTTTCTGTTCAGACTTGCTATTAAAATATAAAGTTTACACTTGCACGTGGCAATATTATACAGCTATTCTGTGGCTCATAACAAGAGTAACTTCAGTTTTTAGGGATAAATTGTGAAGGATGTTAAAGCTTGTCAAACATTTTGGAAAACACCGTAATTTCAAACTTTGGGGGAGGGGGGGTCTATTCATATCTCAGAAACGTGCAGCTCCCCTGCTGACAAGCCTCTAAGCTCGTCTCTGTTCAAGAATATTCATGCAGACCAGTCATTTGTCTCATCCAGATGTAAACAAAATACATTTTTTCGGACACACAAGTGTTTTGCACGATACGAATCTGGCTAAAGAACGATGTCCAAGTACTTCAAAAACTTCATGGTTCTCAACCAACAAATTTCAACAGTTTGTCCTGCTCTTAAATTGAAAGTTTCAGAAGTGGGGCGTAGATATACAGATTTTCAGTCACAAGCTCCGATTACTGTAACGCAGGAGTACATCGCAGGCATATCTTCACTTATAGTTACATACCTATCATGTTCCACATCTCCATTTACATATCCATATAATGTAAAATGAGGAATAATTTTAAAGTAATTTGAAAATAATTTAACCGTTGGAGGCACTATAACATTAGCCTATTAGTTTCCCTTATAAGTCAATATTAGACTAATGTTACAGTGCCTCCAAAAGATAAAATAACAATTTACAAAGTATATTACTTTTGGCTTCCTTTATACATTTACTATTGGATAAATGTTATAGTTGCATTAGAGGTGATTCTTTTTATACTCGCTTTCATTATCTGCAGTTTATTTCAGCATCAACGTCTTATCTACAACCACTACGCATGCCTAATGATTTGTGGGTGTAGTATTATCAAAACACGTAGTCCAGGATTTTGAGGAAAGTTAGTATTAACACAACATGATGCTACGTTATAGGGAGTTACGTAATGGACATCTGAATATAAGCCTTTTTCCAGATAAAGGAGACCATTTTGCATGAAGGAAGTACGGGACTATCTGGTGTGACTGATGTAGAGATTAAAATTGCTACTTGGAGGAGACATGCTTTAAAAATATGTTGCACCAATGATCAATTTGACATTTCAGCATCACTGGGTTCCTCCAGTACTTTATATGAGTGCATATAGTAAACAGGTTAGAGATCTTCGTCTTGCAGAACTGACAAACAGAAAGATAAAATAACAATGCACCAAAAGTGGTTTGCCCTTACACGGCTGTCTTCTGGGTTGTTGTGCACTGTGCAGTCTGGTAAAGCAGACTGCACAGAGCTACAGCCCAGAAGACAGCCATCTTTGGACGCACCACCGTGAAAACCTCGAATCCTGCTCGTTTGCCCTTCAATAAGATAAATGGGAAAAGCCTGCTCACAAGATACTATTAATATCATTAAAGGCAGCAATAGCACAGATACATAAATGACAAACAGCCAGAAACCTATGTGAACATGGCAGCTTATAACAGTAATATTCTAAGGCATATATAAACCAGTAAATTAAAAATACATTTGAGGTCATAACATAAAATAATGGCACTGTATCTGGTAGCAACATTGAGCTGGGCAGTGCCTTAATACTGATTTGTTTCACTATGAACTCATAGATTAGAACCTGCGACTAGTACAGTGAGTCTTCGTAACAGGCGAGTCATAACCTGCGTGTGTTGGAGATCATCGATATATCATATATATTTATTCCTTTAAAATAAAAGGCATTTCATGCACATTTGATTAATAACATCTGAATGGCATGCATACTGATAAAGCTCTGAACATACAGGGTTCAGCGTAAGTACATTACAGTTATTTGACTTCCAGAAAGTGAAGTACTGTATGTGAAACTCACTAAAATATTATGTATCTACGAGGAACGCGATGCTAAAGAAAATCCAACTGGCATAATTAACTGGATCTGGGGCTTTACATCACTTAAAATCTATGCATTACAGTGGCTCCAATTGTATCTTTCAGTGAAGAAGGCAGATATATTCTGGTAATGTATATCACAACGTCTGTATTTATACAATATGTCCAAGGTAGTTTCAGAGCAAATTGATGTCTCAGGTTCAGCTGCAGAAAGGAGGAAATGTTAAGATAATTCTTTTCCTCTTTTTGAAAATTTGCTACCATGCATTGCACACTGGCATTTGTTCCAAATTGCTTATATTTCAGAACCTAACCTAACCCAATAGTAGTGTGCCCTGTTTTAATCAACCGTGGCAAAAATAATATAAGCCAGTATCCACGGGAATGTCTTAATGAAGTATAGCTCTCTCCTCTTCATTTAAATGTGTTATGTAATATTAATATAATCCAGTTCACGTACTAACCCTGTGAAACACAATGTTCATCTAAATAATTCTTAAAAACTCAGTTCCTGCCTCGGAGGGAACTCAATGTGTTTCTATTACAAAGGTTATTTGGTTAATGCTGTTTGGGGAAATATTCATCGTTTATCATACGAAACTCGCAAATACATTCTGCGGACAAAATTCAGTTATTGGATATTAAAGTAAGTGGCACGACTGTTCTTTAAAGAGTCAAGTAAAAATACCTATTTATGCATGTGAAATATCAAAAGTCACATTAATAATGGCCTAGAATATTGAAGAAATCAAACATTCACACTCAATCCACTCTTTGCAATTAAAATAAAACAGGTACAGAAGACAATGTAATCGGTAATTCTTCTTTAGAATAGTGGATATGCTCACACCTTAAAAGATAAAACCTCAGATCTCTCAATTTCATCATGTTTCACATTCTGGGTCCTAAGAAACTGTGACAAAGAAGTTTCACTGTACTGTCCTGTCCAAAGTATTAACTTAACAGTGACTTTTCATGTGTAAATACTGCATACAAGAGGCAATTTCAAGTTGAGTGAAATAACCTTAAATTTTAATTACTATCACATCTCAGAATTAAAGTGGTTTCTCCTCAGTTTATCTACAGAATTGTGTATGCTAAAGAATATGTGATCTGTCACTGACTTCTTAAGATATGATGAAGTGAACATGTGACAATCATTATTACGGAAATCTTGAACATTTCCCGGAACAACAGGCCTCCTGCATTCACCACATTTGAAATGTCACTGTTAAGTTTACAGCTTTTACAATTTTCAGACATCACAATAGAAGGACATTTCTACATTTTACAATGTTCTACATTAGGTGTTGCAGAGAACTCAAAGTGAGAAATCTGTTGGAGCTGTGTCACGTAATTGCATATGGCTCACCGCACGTAAGTCATTTGCCTCATCTGTGGAAGTAAAAATATTTTTGTACGTATTCACCTTTAAAAATTATGTCAACATCAAAAGGCAAAACATAATTTGACAAGAGAGCAAGTGAGTGACTTTCTTAGTTTGGAATTAAATGAGAATTTGTAATATAATATAATATTAACACACACAAACTAAGTAACTTATCCAGACATAAATGTTGAAATTGCTTCATGAAAATGAGAACTGGGAAGACAAAATCCAGGTATACTTTCAATTACGCCACATTATGTTACACATTCCTGTTCTTATGAATGTTTTCATCAATAGTTTTTAAATATATTTGTACAAAATATCAATCACTTTACGGCTAGTGGCAATGCGGTTTTCTGGTTCCAAGTAAGAACCATAGGCTTACAGGATAGAAAATGGATAATTCAATATGAGGGCAATTATTACAACCACATTCACTCTATTAAAATTTTAAAAGAAAAGTTGTTCAAACCATTTTTCATCAAATGTTAGGGGATGACAACATAAATAACCAAAAACGAGCTCTTCCTTCCATATGCAATAACAACACAGACACAAAACTTTCTAATATAAACAAGATTTGTCCTCTTTTAATTAACCTCTCTGTGATTCACTTATGTCATTTTTGGTCAGTATCGCACAAAATTAATGTCTGCAAGACTCCATAAAATATTACTTGTGTGCAATGATAAGCGTACACAGGCAGCCATCATATCCCCAGATTTTTTTGAAATTGACCAGTGAATTCAGATATTATTTTCTCAGTTGCAAACACCCGTCTGTTTCTGGTGAGATTTCATGCCTCCTGGCTTTGAGTATGAAGATGACTGTCTTCTGGGATACTGCTCCATGTAGTGTGGTAGAGGTTTACTAACGTTCCGTCAGTGTTTTATGTCTCCACCATCTGGGCAATGACAGTCAAAATGTCCATTATATTATCTACAATGTAGAATTTTGACACAATGCATTTCCAGTCACTGCAAAGGGGAACAAGCTCACGTTTGCTATGACTGTATCAAAACAATGTCCTCCTACTGATGATGTATTCTACAGTACATCTAATGCATATAACACAATATCACATAATTAAAACAGTGAGAACATTTTGCAAAATAAACATGTCACGAAATAACGTAACTCTGACTGGAGGCTTCCCTGAACAGTTGGAAAGGAAACAATTGAACCGTATTTCATACGTATGTACAGTTATCCTACAATGCAACGGTAAATACACGTAACATATCCGTGCCAGCAGCACAATGGCACACCGGCTGTTCAAATTATTACGGAGAACGGGTCTGGTATTGTGCTTGGTACCAATATGGTGCGACACATTGAAATGAATTATCTGCTTACAATATTACGACCTGCAACCACTGTTGCCTCATCAGTCGGACACGGGAGACTTGGAGGGGCTTCTGCAGTCAGAGTGTGGTTTCTGTTATTTGTGGGCTTTAACCTCAAACAGTGTGAAATTATTTTCACCATTTCCTTCAGCATAAAACTAGCCATTTCATAATAAAATTTTTTCCTATTAATTTATTGTTTATTAATCAACCATGTTTATGTAAATATATGCCTCCAGCAGCTTGTTAAATTTGTTGCATTAGAGATGAACAGAGTTTTTAGGAATTTGTTTCCTGTCTTCATTTCTAACTTGCCCATGTATATATTAAAAATTTGGATACAAGTTTTAGAAAAATGGAACTGGGAGAGGAGTGGACGACTGTATACTGAAACTGTGGGAGCAATCTGAGATAATCATGCACAGTACAGAGAGCTAAAAAGTGTAAGCCCTCTTGATGCAATATAACCACAGTTCATGCCATACAAGTTATTCAAGCAATTTGAATTGGAGGATATGGAGGCACTAAGCATTATAATGTGCAACTCAGAAGAGAAATTAAAGTATTACTCTACTCCAGTACTCAGTCACGTTCCTGTTCTCGCAGACTAAAATTCACAGACAGCATCTCTAACCGGATCATAGCTTGTCACAGCCCTGTATTGTATATCTTGAATACTTCATGCAGCACACTTCCTATTATAACACACACTCTGTCTGTAATTATTTTATACAAGTACAACATTAAATATAATGCAGGGACCATTCGTACAACAGTGTTTGAAACCTTAGAATTAAATTTTTTATGTATCTTACATCACCGACAGATGGCGAGATGACGACGATCAGGGCGACTGTCTCAGACACAACATATCTTGCAACTGAACACTGACAGAAAGGAAGCAGACATAATCTTTGACACGTCTCTATTGGCTGTTTCAGTGTTTCTTATGTGCAGTGAGGATCGTCTGGTATGACGTGAGTAGTAACTGCAGTCTGTTCTTCACTGTATGCACCCAGCTGGAGAATGACTGACACTAATAGGTTACGCAGCTAAACCAAAGTGAGTCCAAGCGACTTCATGTTTATTAGCTTGCATCACGGCATTCACACAGTCCAGGTAGCAGTAGATTACTGCTAAACCACTAAACCTCCGATTTAAACCCGACTGGCAGCCCCGTAAAATGGGGTTTTAAATTATATATTTTCATACAATGAAGGTCCATGAAATTAAAAAAGAGACATTTAACATGTCTGCAAATTCAGCAACATTCCAGACCAGTAAAACTGCGACGTGAAACTAATTAGTGACACATCTGTTTACCAGGATTCTGTGGAAATGAAATACAAGAAAAAGTAATATAATCAATGTACATTTTTTACACTGATTATTTCAACGGTGATCATTCTGATCTTAAAAAATATTAAAATAAATTATTTTGAGATGAAGGTTATCATATATTCTGGGCTCCAGAAACAAGTATTGGTCAGTGATATAATGAGACTAGCTGATATCTGCAGAGAACTGAAGCACTGTTAGTTATACGAGCTCTCCAAGCTGAATGCCGCTGTTAATATCACTATAATAAATATGGAATATTTACAGTGGGTTTACAGATTACATCTATTCTGTCTTCTGATATTTGCATTAATGAACAGTCTCACAGCTCCGAGTTGCATGTGGCCAACACCATTATAGCACAGTCTGTTTTTATGGCCAATATTTTGGTTATGACTGTAGTTTCTCTCCAGGTGTGTGCAGTTTGAGAAGAAAGTCGTTTTATCAATGAAACACTGTTGCATTTGTGACGTTTCTGCCGCAGTTGTAATACAATGGAATGATGAACTTAAACACTGCAGAGCTGCTGCAAACGATAGGGGGATAAAGCTTTGTCTGCAGTCAGTCTTCACTGCTGATGATCATAGCAGAGGCAAACATATATAATATGTAAGAATGGACTGCATTACTAGCGTGCGGACATACGTCCACGAGGACGCTCACTGATAACACAGCACTCCTTCTTGTATTGCTATCGTGTCAAGTCTGTTGCACCTAGCCCTTGTTTCGACAAGATTGGCAACACTGATGCTGATAACGCTGCACTCTGCACATGTTCATAGCCTTCACATTTTGGCAGTATTTTGACTGATCTTTACAGCTGGACACTGGGAATTAAAATCACATGTTATGAACATCTCTAATAAACACATATACTACCTGTTATAGAATTTTCTTGAGCGATCAGCAACATCAATGTTGAGTCAGACGCCAATGTTTTTGAGACTGACTGACTGATGTATCAGCAGATTTTGTCATTCCTCACACTTACCCTAATGACGGAGACAAAGCTGGTCTCTGAAATGTTGGCATCTAACTAAACACTGATGTAGCCGATCACCGAAGAAAATTTTATGAAATTCATGTGCCATGAAAATTCCAGTATTACGTATACCACCTGATTGATTATACATAACATGCAGGAATAGTGGAGGCTAGCAAAGCAAATTAAGTTGGCTACTTACATAACTATACTTCATTCATGATGGGCATGGAGTAAACATAAACATGTGACTGCCTCTACTGGTTAGTCAAGTGTGCCGCCCTGCAGTGATCAAATCAAATATATTGAAATTGATACCATTTCAGTATCTTAATCTCAAACTTAACTTTGCAAAATGGACAAATATCCTCAAACAAAACTTCTGTAAAGAATATCTGTAAGAGAAAGAATCTCACAAGGGCAAAAGATTATTATTTGAAATGTGTAGTATAAGCCTTTGGTGACTGACAGCTTTGACATACCGCAGAAAATGGCGTATTCACCGAGAAGTGCTTGTACAAGCGATTAAAGGAATATAAATCCGCAGGTGCATTTGAACTGCAGCATAAAGCATATCAAACAACAATAAGAATTGTCAATTATATCAAAAGTTCATTGTTTTCTTCAAAACATTGCCATTGCACTGACATCGTTTTAAAAATAAAGTGGACTTTGATTCTTTGTGGACAAGATTTTTTGCTTGTTGCGCCCATCTTCTTTGCTGTGTCCACATCCACTCCACAGTCATCATGAACACATTTAAAGTAGATACAAGATGTTAAATAAAGAACACAAGACATAAATCTTCACACTTTGCAGTCTTTCAAAACATCAGTCAGCCTCTTACTTTCAAAGGAAGAGATGTGTTGTTAACGTGCACGCGGCTGAGCACTGTAAATACATACGTATATTGCTTGTATTGTGACACATTCTTCAGTCTACATTTCTAATAAACTTTCCTACCGCACGCAAAGAAAAAGCAGTAGCATTACGTGTCTACATACCAACTTTACGAGAACTTGGGGTGTTGGTTTTTCATTTCCTGTTTTACTAACAGCCACAAATATACTACAGTGTGAGCCAGGGTACATCAGTCAACACAGTGTCCGACTACAGACTGGCTAACTGAGGTGCAAAGGACTTTAAAAAAACCCTGCAAAAGAGCAACTTTATGCCGTCTTTGTAGCTTTCAATATGAACTGTAACA